AAATAAAAACTTTAACGGTTTAAAACGCATATTTGTTAAACTCCCCTACCACGGCTGCTGCAAAGCCGAGCGGGAATTTCAAATAAGTTAATCATTCTTTAGTTCATAGTTATAAACTTTTTTTTGGTTTAGTCGTTATTTCACTTTAGTCCAACCTAGACCTCGATAACGTTACGCTTTAGACGCGGCGATGTCAAGGCAGACCGATAGTTTTTACACGATATTTCATCAGACGACTAAAATAAAAGTAGTATTACTTAAACTACTCAAGGATACCTGCAAGATTTAGAAGAACATAGACGCAGTGGTAGCTCAGAACCAGCGGTTGTAGGATATTTTTTCAACCTTAATCTACACTAATATATAAAGCTGAAAAATTAGTTTGTTAGAACGCGCTAATCTCAGGAACAACTGGTTCGAATTGAAAAATCATTTTTGCGTTAGTTAGAGCATTTGTCGAGAAAGGCAGCTTTTAGACTAGACTATAAGAGATTACGCTGTGAATAGCAGCGACGGCACAGAGGGAAGTGTGGAAAAAACGGGGAAAGTTATCTTTGAGGTTTTCCTTTGCGTGCGCTGCGAAAATTGCTCAACGTACCCATAAAATATATATAAATGAATGATTTTAAACGATATAGAAAGTGTACGCGACTTCCAGATTAACCTGCTAGAACGCGACGCAGACGAGACAGCAGCTAAAACTAATAAAGGTGAGGTTTGCGAAAACAAATTTTCTTGACCGAAATAGCTATGCCGCATGGAAAAACTCGTGATACTTATAATAAATAGAAGTGCGTAATTCTGAATTATAATTTTACCAAAAAGGTTTATTTATTGTTTCTTGACGGGGTGTCGTAGAATGGAACAGACAATGGGGCTCATACGACGGTAGGTGAAATATCCCAGCCATATAACATCTAAACACGATGCGCTGTCGACCTTTTTTGGTTATGAATATTTTGAAATCCACAGACTGAAAGCGAAACGCGATTAGACGACTTTTAAATCTGTGGACGGTGGTTGGTGACCCGGATGGAATTTTTATCCAGATTTCCAGACGAAGTCCAACGTGTTTCAGAAATATAATAAATCCGAAACATGTTAGACCCGATGGGGATCGCACCCACTACCTGATTATTAGCCGTTAAGCAACCATTAGCACCATCCCGTGATACCGTCCACGGAGCATCAAAAACCGATAATCCGTCAACCGATTTACGACCGATTCCTTATCTACATTGAAACGAACGTACCCCGAAGCAATACCACGATAAATTACATCGTTTACAGCCCGCACAGGAGAAGCCACATCTCAGCAATAAACACGTAAAATGCATGACCAATCAAAATACCAATGTCGGGTCACGCACACTAACGTTTTAAACGTGCGCTCGTAATTACACGCTTTTCTTGTGTGTGGGTGAATTAGAATTGAGCGTTACGCACACATATAACCGTGTTCTTGAAGGGTTCGTAGAGTACTTTGTAGGGCTGTGTGTGAGATGCATTATGATAAACGTGTGTGTGCGTGTGCGGACGCGCACTCGTACATACAACGTGCCCTCTGAGACGGAACACGCGCTCGAGGGACCCAAACAGAATGCTTACAATTATTGACGAAAGGTGATATGGACACGCTTAACCACTCGTTTTAAATTATCTATTTTGATGTTGAAAAAAACCGATCACAAGACGGGACTATGCTGCTACTTGTTAATGTGTATACTAAATGAATAAATAATGCAAATAGTCTAAATAAATAAAACCCTAATCTATGCCGTTACTATATCGCTGAGCTAACACTCCACTTCTGTCATCGTGGAACTTGTTCAAACTAGAATTAATTATGGTAAGCTTCAGTTCAGCTCTTCAAGCTTCTACCGCTGCAAAGCCGCATTGAGGCGGTCCAAGTCGCGGTCACACTCTCCCCGGGGCACCGTTGATGTAGCTGCAAAACGCCGAGGCCTGGTGCGCTTACCCAAACGCTCGGTTAGTATAAGAGGCTCTGGGTTATATAATTAAACAAACGATCCTGTGTTGACCTTTTATGTTACTAAGATAAGCCCTTATTATTCCAAATAAGTTGTGCTGGTCTACTTAACATTTTTTTTTCATACACAAACGATTCGATTGTTTAATGTTATATAATCGATAAGTATTTGTAAAAATCTTCTTATGGTAAATATATAATGTCATAAACTGAAGTGACCAGATAGATCTATTACCTTTTTTGTTAAGAAAAATGCACTACTTTTAATATTATTACGGCCTATCTAGTTGTCTTTACTCGTAATAGTAGAAGTGAGAACTTAAACTAATTAATACAATTAAATATTAAGACAAGGACAAGGAAACCAGACTATCATAAAACCGCGTTACGTAACAATCTCAATAAAGTCACGTCCACACTAATCGCATGTCCGTCAGCCAGCCCGCGCAGAGTGCCCCCCGCCCACATAAAAAATGACATCTAAATACATCCATTAAGCTTGGACGCGTCGCGCTTTCCTGTCTGTAAGCCCCTTTGAATCGGGTCGTATGGAGGCGCCTTTATTTGTGTTTTGACAGCACTCTGGCTCAGCCTATGATTTGTGATGTGAAACATACTTAATATTTAATAATTAAGACTGAGGGATCTCGAGACGATATTACTTCCCAAACAGATGTTAAGTGAATTTCGTTTTATTTAATCTCAAACTCCATATTTTATCCAAACATTTTTCTTTATGTTAATTTATGCAAAATTAATATTATATTCCTATATTTAATTGTATTAAAATACTGTAATTTTAATGCCTGTCATTGTTTTTCACGGTCTAGATGTGAAAGTTATTCTTAAATCTCGTTTTTTTCTGTGAAACTGTATAAGCAAATATCTATATTCAATCTTTTTCTTTCAATTCCTTATAATATGTTACTATGATATTTATTTTTGTTTCCTGTGTTCTTAAATAAATAAATAAACATATTTGGTTTTGAAGATCGCTTCTGACGAACACGTCAGGTAACAACCTATCGTTGCGTTTAGCATGACAGGTCCTATGTTTAAATCCAGGGAAATAAAAGTTTCAAATAGGTAGAGCACAAAAGTTTGTTTAACTGCTTGCAACGAAAATCGATAATTGAAGCGGACATTAAAATGTGTCTACTCTATCAAAGTAAAATGGGATTGTGGTCTTTGTTTATACTTGTCATAACTTTTAAGTAGACTCAGTCCTATGTTGTTTTCTCTATGCAAGATGTAGTCTTGACGAACCAGTCAGTCTCTCAATGATTACGATTATGACATCTATATATGTTCTTACAGACAAAAAAATAATTTGCAATTAAATTATTTTTTGTCAGTAAGAACCTTTTTTGTCGGTCTTAGTTTAGCGTATTATACATATAGCCTTCTTGGATAAATTGAGAATCTAAGACTACGAAGCCCGTTTAAATCAAAACAATAGTTCTTGACACAGTCCAAGAAGAGACTCAATTTCGTAAGCTACATAATATCTATTTTATGGAAATGTTAGTACTCGACTGTATGTCGGTTGGAAAAGTGATGGAATAGGACAAGTAAATTTAAATTAATATTATCTCTAAGGCAGGTAGGTACAGCATGCATCTTTACGCGATGTTACCGATCTGTTAAGTTTAACTTATCAGGATTAACAGTTGAAGGTCTGTGAAGAAAGTTATAGTCTTTCAAAGATAGCATTGTTTGCGGTGATAACAAATACGGAGGTAATAACATGTGGACCATATATAGCGCAAAAATGGTTGATTGATGTATTATGTAAATTGTACTTATATTTAAGTCTAGCTGTGCCAGCGACTTCGGCCGCATATAAGAGTTATTTTGGGTATAACTTGTTTTTGCGAACCCTCATCCCCTTCCCTTCTCATCTTTATAAATTAAAGGTGCTTTCGTATTAACCCACGACATTCGTATCCCGTCGTACGCCTCCCGTCGATCCAGTCGTTCTTGCAAGTTATTCTTAAAAGATAGACATATAGCGTCGGGGATTTTTTTCAGATCAATTAAAGAGGAATTTTCCTTTCATATATATTGATTTAATTTCTTAAACCATTTTCACAGCGTACATAACGGAAACCCCGCAAGATGAATAATTTTTCCCGTTTTTGTCACATTTCCCGTTGTTTCGTCGCTCCTATTTTGTTACGGCGCGAAGTTGTATAGCCTATAGCCTTCCTCGATAAAGGTTCTATCTAACACAGAAAGAATTATTAAATTCGAACTAGTAGTTCCTGAGATTAGCGCGTTCAAACAAACAAACAAACAATTCAGAATTATATATTAGTATAGATATGAATTGTATTTGAAAAATGGTTACAGGATACTTAAGGTGTCTTCGAAATCACTCTTAAAGGAACATGGGAAAGCTAGTAATTAATAAATCATGTTTCGGACATCTTTTTTAGAAGCGACAAAAACCACAAATGATATTTCATGCAACAAGCGTTTGTCCATCGTGATATGAAGACACAAAAGGAAACGGTTCGAAGAAAAATCACAGACAATGTGGAACATTACATTGTCTGTTGTGTTTAAGTTAAAGGCTCCAATTTCAATGTTTCTATCAGGTCTGCATCCTACAAGTACCTATCAGCACTCCCTTAATAAGAGGTATGTTTAAATAAAACACGTTTAACGATTTAAATGCAAAATGTATACGTTGAATGGATGACTGCTGAAAATGCACTATCGGTTCGTAGTCAAATTAAATAACAAATAAATTCGACTAGTATATTTCGCGTTTTAAACAGTTAGAATAATTTTATTTAAATGTGTATTACTCCCGTGAACTACAGACAATAATAAGCTCTGCTTAATCCCCAAATATTCTGACATTTAAGCCGGCCTCTTCAACAGCTGAATTACAAACACTTGTCGTCCGAAAAATTGAAATGAGCCAAGACCCCGGCGAACTCTCAAAGGTAATTGTTGAAAGCATCGCGAGAGATTTAAAGAGAATTTAGCCAATTAACGAGTAATGGCCGAGGGCTGTTCGATTGCTGTCATGATGAGGGGAGCTAGGCTCAGGGCTATCACGACGCCGCGTGACATAATTATTGCTTTTAACTCGTAAGGCTTCGGTCTCCTATGAACGCCGTGGGGCGCGTCGATATTACTATTAGATTATTAACATCTCATGGACTTTGTAAGCGCGGTGCAAACGTTGTGTCCACTTACCAAAAAGCGTGTAAAGACAACAGTACTTCCATATTAGGGCCGTAACGCGTAACGCAAACTATTAACGCTATAGAAGACTACATAACAAATGTCGAATTACCTACTTGATAAGATGTGTTGTCGACTTATTTCGGCCTTGCAAATTCGGAGTGTTATCAATATATATCATAGAATATTGCCATATTATAAACGTTTTACCGAGTTAACCATGTGATAATTACAATAGTGATACAATTAGCTATAAATATGTCTATTTCATATATACGGTTGTTCCCCAAAAACCACGCATAAACAAATAATACGAAACCTTAGCAGTACGCTTTGCTATACTTGCAATGTTGCCCCAAGATATCTAGGCCTTCCCTTCCCCGCCCTTCGCTCGATGACTTCTATATAAACGTGGTACTTAATCAGAGGTCATCATAAAATGGTATGGACGTAGCGGCTTTATAACGACCACTTTAAGTTGAGACATTTAAAACCTAGTATGGAGAGTGGTAATGTTTAATATAAAAGCTATTTGAAGAATTTTTAAAATATGTGTTTAATTTTTATGTAAATACAATCCTCGAAATTAAAAATGAACGTTATTTTGTCTTTTTGTGTAAATAAATTACACAGTAGTAGGAATGTTTTTTTTATTATTATTATTTAAATATTTATTAACTTCATAGTGATAGCTTACAATCTAACGGTATTGGCGGTTGAAGTAACGCCAACAACCGTCGAACAATATGCGTCAAAAGTTCGTTGAAATATCGATTCTTATTTTTGTATATATAACAGAATTAAATCTTAATTAATAAATACATTCTTAACGGTTTAAAAGTCGAAATTTGTCAATATTTATTAAATTGCGACCTTTTGTGCTGAGATTCATCACAGCAACATGGGTCACGCAGGGACACTACTATTTTAATATATGTCGCGTTTTGAACCCGTTTACAATTGTTCTTGGCTCAGATTCAACAGCAAAATGGGTCACTTAGGGACATAACTATTGCTTAATACTTCGCGTTTTAAACCGTTAAAATTCTCTTGGATCGGATTCTACAGCAATCGTAGTCACGCAGGGATCTTACTATTACTTAATATAATTCACGTTTTAAGCCCTAACAGTTGTCTTGGCTTGAATTCAACAGCAACCGTGGTTACGTATGGACATTACTATTACTTAAACCCGTTTTAAACTGTTAAAATTGTCCTAGTTTACGTTCGCGACTTCAAATAATATAAAAATCTTCGTTGATCTTCGGCTTTAAAACCGCATTTAGCCGAATACCAAAGTGGCTGACACTTAAGCCGTTTGCAGCAAGGGTCAAGTTACAGTGGTCGTCGCGAGGCAGTAATGTAAGCGCATTAGTGCGCGGCTGGCGTGTCACGCGGTACATTGACCGCTCTTTGTAAGCAATTGCTACATCAATAGGGTTGGCTGCGGCGTGATTTGTATCGCGATTATGTATTTGGGTTTTAGGTCGATATATCTCGTTCTGTTATGGAGATGAGGCGTATTGCCGATTATCATACATCATATTCGGATTTACCGTTAATGTATTCGAAATAATTGCGTGAGACCGTGCTGCTACCGGCACATATTGAAATATTTTCTCATTTTTTATGGCTGTGGTATTTTACATTCAGTAAGCCCCATGATTGTCTGTCTTCCTCTAATATCTTAAGAAAAATCTTGTAAATAACCGTTAGTTAAACTCAAGTGTCACTGGTAGCGTGGCATTACGATAAGCTTGTACACCGCGGAGATAGGAACTCCTGAGCTTAAGCCATAAGTACAGTCTGATAGAATCCATCTGTGAAAGAGATTCAAAAATGTGTCATTGTAGGGAGGCACATTGACACATAGTCCTACATTAAATGCTTAAATAAATGTACTTACTATATTATAAAACGACGAACGGTTGCCAGCCCTGCACTTATGAGCAGAATTTATGTCCTGCAAAGTGATTTGTCCTTTATGATTGTTGCTACCTCATTGCAAAAACGGTAGGCACGTTAATAGAATTAATATATAAATTATTTTAGGGCCTTGTAAATATTGTATATGCCAAGTATCTGTGGGACATGTTCGTAAAAACACTAGCAATATCCAAAATTTATATTTTTCAATAAATTACTTTAGTGTGTTTACTTAGCGTGAAAGATATTAGAGACGGGGGTGTCCTTAATGTCAAAGTAATAATTGCTACACCAGCGCCATCTGTTTCGACGTTTAGCAGTTTTGACTTTGACATTAGGGACATCCTCCATCTCTAGTTCCCCGTGACCACGGGTGCTGCAAAGCATCCGCAATAGCGGGCCGTAGTTAAATTAAATAAGTAATATATTATTTATAGTTTTCGCACTTAGAAACTTATATTTTTAATTACAGTATATTTACAATCAGAAACTATATCTTTAAAACGTATTTAAAATAAAAAAAACTGGACTGGAATACTTGGGGTTTGAAAGCACCCGCTCTTACAAGTTAAAAAGAAGAGCACTTAAAGAAAGTGAAGATTATAAAATAAAACTTGGTGTTAAAAGGAGTGGTGGCGAGTTTCTTGCCAGTTCTTCTCATTAGTTTTATCTGGTTTGACGTTCATACGTGTACATAACTATGACCTACGTAAATAAATAATTTTCGACTTTGATTGTTATAGATAAGTACCACTATCGTTAGTAGGTATAACATTATTGATAAAAGGAAGTTTCATCTTTTACTAGTAAGTATAACTGAACAAGAAGACTGATTGTCCGTGCTTTAAACCGTTAATAACTTTTGTGTGTAAACGTCACGAACTTTTACCTTGCATAAACACTGTAGGTATGTTTCTATTAACATTTTTTTATAATAATAGAGAACAGACCAGCGCGGGGTTTACTTGATAGTAGATAAAATATCTCAGCAATATAACATCTAAACAAGATGCGACACGGCCTATTTTGGCTTTGGATATTCGGAAATTCGCAGACTGAAACCGAAACGCGATTCAACTTGACGGGTTTATCCCATTATAAATGTTCGACCCGATGAAATCGGATCCACAACCCATTGATATAGCCTAGCCTAGCCCTAGCCATACTTTCCTACCATTAGTTATACCAATCAATAACTAAGTTTAACTCAAACTGTGTGACTACTTTCCTACTTATTTAAATACCTACTATTTTACCAAATCTTGCTTGCGTGCTTGTCTATCGCTAGATCCGGTGGCAAGCAGCAGCCCAGCCCTGTCGCCAGCTCGTCCAAATCTGGTGATTTGTCCGCCAATTTGGGGCCAACGACCGTCGCCGATGCTAACTGCGCGATAACGGTTCGCGTTTCGCTCAGCTACCCACTACGCGACGCGGGCAGACTTGTCTGTAAATTGTCTGCTAATGCACATTTCACTCGTCGTCACACGTTAATGGATTTTGTTGAGGGACGAGCTAGTGAGATGTTGTGGCTGAAATGATGGTGACGATACATTAATATACGATAATATATAGGCTTTGTAAGAAGGCTTTTATTTGCGTTCTACAAATTTATAAATGAAATATTTCTTCATAATTTCTAAGAAGAATTAGTTTCAAATAAAATCGCGAAAAACGAAACTTAAAATGACATTTTTTTAATACCGTTAAAAGTTAGAAAAACCTAAAAAAACATAGGATTAAAAAGTCTATTTGATTTAATATAAGTATTTTAACAGCATTATAGAAGCATGAATACCAGTCAATATCATTTGGAACCAAATGTTCGTTCTTAGAGTTGCCATTCTACACTACTATTATAAAGCTGAAGATTTCGTATGTTTGTTTGTATCAATGGGCCAATGTCGAGAAATACTCTTTCGATTTGAAAATAATATTATCAATTCGTAGCTGATAGCAATCATGGAACGCTGTAGGCTATACAATATCTTTGAAGGTATACGTTGCTTACACCGCGAAGACGGGTTAGGGTACTCAAAAAGAAATGTATATAGAAATAAATCTTCTTTAATTATTCTAAAATATATCCTTAACAGTATATGTCTATCTTTAAAGATTAACTCGCTTGATATGATGCCTTAAATAAATATTATACGCGGATGACGTCGCGGTCGCATCTAGCATATCATAAGGCAGAAGAACGTTTGCCAGGTCTAGTTAATAATATTTTGTCTCATCAAAAGGTTGGGAGGTGAAACCACTGTCGTGAATTCCCTATAGTTTTACATTCAGGTCGCATCGCATCCGATTCCTTACGCATTCAAACTATAAAACAATATACGGGTCTTACTTTCACCCCTATTAAGTTTCACAAGCCATCAAATGGCTCCAAGTTTAACACTGAGACCACAAATTCACCTGAATGCGGGTTCATTTCTTTGCAATTATTGCTTGCCCGTAGGACGTCATTTTTTAAAGAACATATTAATAACAATAGTTTTTTTTTTAATGGAGGAACTTACTGAGTAAGGCTAAGACATGCAGACCTTTTTTGGCTTTGGATATTTGGAAATCCACTGAGTGAAACCGAAATGCGATAGTAACCTATTTGGCCGCTAAACATGACAGATTTGAATTTTCATACAACTATTGCCGGCCGCTGCTCGACCAGAACAGCAAGTTCGATTTATCTCGAAGAAGGTAGTCAAAATAGTGCTCAAATTTCCAAGAATGTTTGAGAAAAGACTTTATCTTAATTTGAATAGAGACGGGTGATGACGCTGGAAGAAACCAATCGGTTTATGTCTCTCGTAATATATCTGTTTAACGTATATCCATAATTATTATAAAATATGTTTTTTATATATTTTTAGTTCGAATTTCAAAATGTTGTGTTGGTAAGGGCTTACCAAAGAATGTTATAGGGTACCTACCTACACATTTACATAAAACACTTTAACAGTTTAAAACGCGATATATTTTGTATATATATATAGAGGCTTTTGACCACGGCTACTGCATTCGAAACAGCGGGCCGTAGTTAAAGATAATTTTCAAACGAGTAAGTATAACTAAAATGTATCGCGTTTTAAGCAGTGTTTTATTTAAAGGTGTATGAAACACTGCGCTGTAACAAATAGGAGCGATGCGAGGACAATAATTACAAGCTGGAAATGTGAAAAAAAAACGGGGAAAATTATTCATCTCGGTGGGTGACCGATGCGTACGCTGCAAAAACGGTTCAAGATATCCAAAATATGTATGAAAGAATGATTCCTCTTTAAATCATCCAAAATATCTCAAGATTAACTAGCAAGTACGACGGGACGCATCCGACGTCGTGTGTAATAGTTTAAATTTTTAGGTTTTGCTTTGGTTGGTTTGGTTTTAGGTCAACAAACTATTCTACGCGGATAAAGTCTGACAAAGCTAGTCCTTTTATATATTTTATGTTCTTTAATAGAGGTAACTGTTTTTCTTAACTTTCACAAACTATTAAGCTTCCTTTTAACATATTAAGCCACATTACCCGAATTCCAACCTTAACGCCAGCCACATTTCTGTGTCTATTCCTCTGATTTACTGTAAAGCATGTCTTCATAATACAATGCCTTGCCTAACTTCGACTTCATATTAATCACGCATTCTCCGGATTCAAACTGATTACCTCTCGACGGTAATACAGTCGTCACGTTTAATCATGTTTTGATTTCAGTCTGTGGATTCCCGAATATCCGAAACTAATATATCATGTTATATGGCTTGGGTATTTCATCTTTCATCAAATGAGCCCCTTGTTTATCGACCACCCTCCCCTATCGTAAAAAAAACATATTATATAGTAAAGTTACCTAGTAGTTATTAGTGATTTGGAGTCGAAAACAAAGTGACTCAAACTAATGTCTCAACTTACCGGAGATAGTTTATAAGTACGGAACCATGCGAAGGCACACGTAGAACAAGTTAAAGTTTGATATACTCGCGCGAAGGTTGTTTGTCGAGAAATATACTCCGTGACAAAATAAGGTTTAATTAATGGATTGGTAATAAGAGACGTGCTTTTCTGCCCTCCTCTATAATAAAAAATGTAAAACATTGATGTTACGAGTATTTAGTTCTAACATTGTATAGTGGAAAATTAGAAGACTAATGAATTATTCCATTGCCAATGACCGTAAAAACTGGAATAGAAAAACAATGTTTTAAATGCCAGATTACACGCAGACAGCTTTTTTAGCGTGTCACCGTACGATAGAAAGAGATAGCTACACACCGGGTACGTGCGAGAGGGAGACGGCGAAACGGTCCCGGTAAATTGTTTGATGATTGGATAATTATTTTATTGATGCAGTTAAACGCTGAGACCCCCAATACAAAGGGGGGAAGTGTTAATTTATTATAACTAATCACACTTTGTTGTAATTTCGCGGACTTGTGGAGGGAATAATGGTTTTACTTTTTCTCATTCAATAGCTGGTGTAACAGTGATGAATTAATTAATGAACTGTCTCGTAAATATAGTAGGGTGGTATTTTGTGGAATTCTGGAATTTTTCTACGAAAATTCATATTCGATACTTACCAGCCCGGAATCAGAAATGAGTTCATATAGGCCCCTTTAATTTGAAGGCCACGATCGGGTCAAGCCCACTAAGTCCGTAGAGCCCGCCAATCCGCTTTGAAGTTGAGTGGTGGGTCAATTTAATTAACTAGCTCTATATATACTACTAGCTGTCAGCGACTTCGTCCGCGTAATAAAGTTATTTTGGACATCAACTTTGCCCACGATCCACGACGTCGGTCGCGTCCCTTTCCGTCGTTTTGGCAGATTTTTGTTAATCTTAAAAGATATAGAGCGACGTGGATTTTCAGATCCTTTAATGAAGAATACATATATATTTTTTAGGTATCTTGAACAGGTTTTGCAGCGTACGCCTCGGAAACCCATAATGATAGATAATTTTCCCAATATTTTTCACATTTCCCGCTGTATCTTTGCTTGTATTCGTCACAGGGTGATGTTTTGTAGCCTTCCCCGATAAATGCTCTAACCTAATACAAAAATAATTTTTCATTTCGAACCCGTAGTTCCCGAGATTAGTGTAGTAGTAAACAAACAAACTCTTGAGCTTTATGCATGTAATTCTGTAAATTAAATAAGATACTGCCGTAGTAACTATAAGTTTAACTAACTAACTTAATAAAGTTTGAAACAATATTAAAAAAATCGTAATTATGTCACCATAACAGATACACATTAATAATGAGAATGCTACTACTTACAGTAAGCAAGGGGCATGAATATTTCAGTTACTTAACTTTAAAGTAGCAACCTCGTCGAAGATAAATAGGTGTTATTCACATTTTCCATTAGCTGTCGGTTAATTTTTACAAAGAAATATTACCTTGTTTGACTATATAGTATGTACCTACCTATGCAATGAATATTTATTATGAATTTAAATGCATTTTAAATAAAACATCTAACGTTTTAAACGATGGGGTCACGGTGGAGGCAATGCATCTAAAAAGTCGGACCGCTGTTAAAATTAATTATAATTTATGGGTTAACTATTAAATTTGCCGTTTCAAACCGTTGAAAGTATTTTATGTTAAATCTGTATGTACTATTCGCGCAATGTCAATACTTTATTTATTTTATTACCGAAGGAAGCTTACAATATTTAAACAAAAATTCTCAAGACGTAATATTTCAAAGAGAGTAAAGTATTTTATGCAAGTAGCAATATAAGCTATAATTGTTGGAAATTCCATTTACAATAGGTATTGCGATACGTTATCAGTAGCGCACTGTTATCAGTATTTACGGAGTGACGCACGCGCCGTTTAAAAACCACTTCACTTGATCCCTCCACATTCCACGATATGTAAATGATAAACATATTAAGTAATGATATACCTAAATACTGTCTATAGTTTACGCGAGTAGTACACATTTAAATAAAACACTTTAACGGTTTAAAACGCGATATATTAGTTAAACTTATTTGAAAATGATTTTTAACTTCGGCCCGACGGTTTGGATGCTTTGCTGGTTTATTGGTTGTTTATTGGTTGTTGATACATATATGCAGATAAAATTTGTTTATTTTAGTCAATTGAGTAAATACTAGATGTTTAAATAAAACTATTTAACGGTTTAAAACGCGATATAATACTACTAATCTGCTACTCTAGCTCCATGTGTTTAGTTAAACACTTTATCGCAAGGAAGAGATAATGGGGCGTGCAAAATCCGATATATTTCGGTCGCTTGACCAAATCGTCGGCACGTGCTTTTGTATATAAACAATGTATTTATTGACAAAGGGACAAGTCCCGCGGTATTGAAGGGTTATCCCATACGAATTAGGGGAGACAGGGGCTAGTTGACCAAGTTTCTGCTTAAGGTTATGTATGTTTATTTTCTTAAAGGAGTCATTTTATTTACGATGGTATAGAGCACAGAGCTGGACTTGTAGGAGAAACGCTTCAACCTACCATATATTACGTGAGTCGCTTTTCATTTGTTTAATTACGTA